CGGCTTTGTTGGAATTGCAGATACAGCGGAGACATTGATGACGAGAGAAGGACGAAACCGAAACACAATTCATTGCAAGGAAATCTGACAGGAGCAACGGTGGAATTAAGTTGCTATTGATGGCGATCACGGACCTCCGGACCTAGCAAGTGGTAATCGAATCTTTTCAACATCTACAATCTAAGTGTATATGCACCAAGGTTGAGCGAAAACTTGTCAAATCGGTTATTCTCATCAAAATCTTTGAGCACCGCTTCACCGAAGATATCGACAAGAGAAGCCATTCTAAGAATAGTCAAGCAACCAATGAAGGATGGGCCACAAAGAGAGAGGTCTGAAGCAGAGAGAAAATAACGGACACAAACAGTCGACTGAAAACGTAGAACACCTCTCACCTCATCTGGGGTCATGCCTGCTGTTGCCTTGAAAAATCTGTCCAGATAAGACCCCTCCGCTGCATCCATAGGTCACAGTCACCACCTGGAGGTGTCTAATGACAAAAGACCAGCAATAAAAACATTCAAATGGAAAAAAAGGAAGTACTCCAAAGAAGACCAATCCCCCTGATGCAGCAAACAGCATCCAAAATGGTCCCTGTCGTCATAGTAGCAGCCTAGCAGGCTAGCAGGTCCCTGCTTTCTAGTTGCTCTTCTGAACAGTGATGAGCCCTGCTGAGGGACAAATGCCATCTAATTACTCTCAGAGTCTGAACAGAGATGACCCCTGATGAAGGACTAAGTGAAGCGAAAAGCAAAACACCAAAATGTCATGCAATGCTATTGATTACATCCATGGAAAACGCCGATCTGTCATATCATTGCCTCCGATGAAGGACAAGCTATGATCGAAGGAAAACAGCATAGAGTCACGTAATGCTATTCAACTCAAGCAGAGAACAAAAGCTTTAAAGGACACATTCAAGATCAGGACTTTTCTGGACGTATCTGACCATGACTACAGCCAAATTCAGTCAACAAAAGCCCTGGCGTAATGAAGGACAAGCCAAGTGCAAAGGGAAACAGCATAGAGCCACGTAGTTCCATTCAGCTCATGCAGAGAACGAAAACTTTAAAGGACACATTCAAGATCAGGACTTTCGTGGACGTATCTTACCATGACTACAGCCAAATTCAACCAACAAAAGCCCTGGCGTAAGTCTGCCCTTAATCTTTCCAGTTGCTCGTCCATGAACACGAAAAACAGAGCTAGTGGGATGACCATCCACTTTTAACTAGTGGGATGACCATCCACTTTTAACTAGTGGGATGACCATCCACTTTGAGTATGGCATCCATTCTCAGCAGTTCAATCAGTATTCTTCAGGATGCACAAGAGTTTCGACATACAGCCAGATGACTCGTCGATCATCCACAACAGAATGCCTCAGCACTGATTCAAGCATCACCGCATTTGGATCAACTGCAGAGAAGGCAGCATGACCCATAACTGCAAGCCCATCATATACACCACGAAACCAGGTGCCACCACCAATCAAGAGATGCCCAACGTAAACCCGGTCCAGATTTAGTGGGTGTATGGCGAGGTCAGCCGCAGATTGGGTGTATGCCGAGGTCAAGCCGAAAATCAAGAAATGAAACGTTATGCTCAAATCTCAAGGGCGAATTGGATTTCGTTGATAGGTGAGTGGATTTGTCGCCATGGGGGTAATATCAGCTGATCGATGGAATGTGTGAGGCACAGACTGACAGATTGAGAGCAGGGGAGCATCGCCGTAATTTGTGTTTGCAGCTCTGCTAATCAGGAAGAAGAGGAGAGGTGGATGAGCTCACCTGGGTGCAATTTGTCTATGTTATTGCCAAAGGAGTGCAAAAGTCCGATCGTACCACACGCATTTCCCACCGTCTGCTTCATGAAATACACCTTCTCGCTGACCTACACAATGTGCCAACAACCTTAGAAAGTTCTTCTCACGCAAACCGCAAAGAAATGCTCAGGTCACATGTATCCACACCATCAGAAATTTTTGAGCTTCAAAATGCCAGCACCTCCGAGCCTCTTTTTCGTGACACTGACTTGCACTGCATGCCAAAAGAAACGAACTGCCACTGGCAGACTTTTTTCCTCTTTTGGCTGGCACTACCAGCCATTTTGGTCCGGTAGCACTGTTCATTCGAAGAACCCGGTTGACAAAAAATTTGATTCCCGAGTTTGCCTAAGGCCGTCGCCGCACGGGACATGAAACGAAAAACGAAACGAGTGCATCTTTCTGCAGAAAATGGCCAGGTTCATCGGTTTGCTATAAATAGTAACGAGTGTATTTTGCCACTTTTCGTGGGCAGATGCACTCGTTTCGTTTTCGTTTCGTGTGCCGTGCGGCGAGACCCTAAGCAAGGTACTGGTAGTTCAAATATGCCATTATCGGCAATTTATCGCTCACCATGGTAAGTGCAAACCTGGACGCCAGAACAATCCAGACAGAAAAAAAAAAAAAAGAAAAAAAAAAAAAGGCAGACCTCCACCTGGATAGATCCACATGTCCAGATAACCGGACAACAGCTGGGCACCCAGAAATATCTCAGCCACACTGTACGGATTGGGGACCTGGAGAGAGAGAGAGAGAGAGAGAGAGAGAGAGAGAGAGAGAGAGAGAGAGAGAGAGAGAGAGAGAGAGAGAGAGAGAGAGAGAGAGCTGTGATATGGATTCTTTGGAATGTCATTCACATCATCACTGAACTTCCAAGGAACATTTAAAACAGTTTCTGAAACACGAGTTTCTGTTTATAACACACTTTCGCAACTGTTTGATGAACTCTTATATGTCTTGAAATTCTACATCTAATGTCATCTATAGAGACCTCACCTGCCCAATTCAGCAGAGTATTGCGCAAGTTGATGTTGATCAGAGCTTTTGCCCCATCATCCGTGACATCACACGAATTTCACTTTTTGAATCTCCAATGGTGAAACCTTCATACTGAACAGCGGATAAGGTCGTTTTTTTATTGCCTACCACCTTGTGCATCAGCCCAACTGATGAGGGACATCCCCTGTCTGAAGCTAGTTACTTTTTTCCAAATATAAGACGTCTGAGATACCTCAGAGGATCACCTTTAGTTTTTATGGGAAGATTTTTAGACACAGAAGATCTGAACGATGAACAGAGTTGCCTTGTTATACTCTATCACCTCATGCATCCCAATTGACAAGAGAAATCCCCTGTATAAAGATAGCCTCCTCAATCACTTTGACAAGAGAACTCCCCTGTCTAAAGATAGTCTACTCATTTTTTCAATAAATGATTTAAGAGACATGGAGAGGGTAGTCTGACAAGAGAAATCCACTGTATGAAGATAAGTCTCCTCAATTAGGTTTTCAATAAAGGACTTGCGAGACACAAGGAGAGGGAGAGGGCAAGGGTACACGTGCATACCGCACTCATGCCATATAAACAACAGCCCCCGGCATGTCATTTTGTTTTTCACTGTGCTTGGTGTGAATGTGTGCATGTCACCCTTTGTGTGCTCCCAGACACATTGTTTTTCTTCTCTTACTCGAGTGTGATGACGGTTAAAGTAACTCATTTGCCATTTTTTTTTCTGTCCGATTATGACACGTAGATAAAAAGACACAAACGGAACGTTGCGGCCGATTCCACAACATGCAACATACGCATAGACATACACATGTATGCACACACACACACACACACACACACACACACACGCACACACACACAGGTGTGACAGCACATTCACATCAAACTACACCAGTGCATATAGTACACACAAATCCATGCGTAAGTGCGACATGCATATGCATTTTATATACATATTACATAGATGGATGGATGCTAGTATTGTCTACCACGCTTAATATGCATTTTATATACATATTACATAGGTGGATGGATGCTAGTATTGTCTACCAGTAGTGCCTACATGGGGGTTGGGGGAGGTGGGGGGTAGATCAGGATTGTCAGTGGTGTACCCTTGGCTGGGTACCCTACACGTTCAACCCAGCCAGGGGTGCCTGGATAGCAAGGAAGACCTTTCCGGAGTGTCATAGTGGTGCTAAACCCTAAACCCTACATCATCCTTCGACACCTCTCTCTGCTGCAGGCCCACAGCGCCACCCCGAAAAGAGGACCAATGGCCACTGTCCATGAGTGGCATGGGCTCTTAGGGGTGGGCTTCAGGAGCTATCGAAGGCTAGGAGGACCCCCACTCTCCACCCCACCATACCAATCGATGACTCCGAGCTCAAAGTGGGCACACCTCATACATCCACATATTGCACACACATCTGTACACAGGCACATCCACACAACCAGCAACTGAGAATCAAAGATGGATTTCATCCAGTTCTTGGTACTTCTTACCATCTGCCCATACTTCAAGATGTGTTCTTCCTCTTCTTTCTTGGCTTCTTCAGACTTCACAGATGTGCATTCCACAACAACAGCAGATACAAGCGCCAAATGAGTCACCACTTGTGTGTTAGCCAGCAAGCACCCAAGTGCCATCCAAGAAGTCAGGTGAAGGATAATAAACACTCTCCAACTGTTTAACAGAGATTCAGTACACACCGACCTCACACTGCCACTTGATTTGCAGACAAACATCACAACTTCTCACACGTACTCATAACAAACAAGAATCAATTATGGCAATGCTGGCCATAAATGAGCAGAAACTAGCTCCAACACAAAGAGAACAAACCATGAAACTCCAGATTCTGTGCACGGATAACACCACAGACACGACAGAACAAAATGAACTTGATTCAATGTCATGATTGTCATCGTATCCTTCCTGAATGCATGAGACAGCCAATGTAGTCGACCCAGTCAACACAGTCACATAGTCACACAGTCAATCTATGAGTGTCTGTTCAGACATCTTGTCGGCGTTGAAGTTGGATTCCCACTCAGTGCCACTCATGATACGTTGCCTCTCTGTTTTACGGCCGAAGATGCAGCAACGAAAGACGCCAGAAATACTCCACCATGATACGAATGCCCAAAGATTAACCTAAGTTGTTGTTAGGAAACATTTCCATGAGATCGGATATTAGTGGCGAAAGAAAACGCGGTTGGCCGGATTACTTTCGACAACTCACAGGTACTTTATTCTGAGGTTGGTGCACACCAACTGCCACTTGCTTTGAAGTCCACCTTATGTCTGGTGCAAATGACAGTCATGCAAAGGTAATGGGCATGAGGGAAGAGAAGAAGGACGTAGGGAGAGCTTGAGGAAAGAGCAATATTCCCCCTCAAGCATCTTCCGAGGAAGAAGTATGGAGGTGAGGGCTGGAGGAAGAAGCCAGCTATGGACGCAGAGAAGATGGCCTCTGGGTAGGCAAGTTGGTGCACAGAAAAAAGTGGCACCCAACCTGATTGGCTTCTACAGGAGCAGTCCCTGTCCATCCTGCCATGATAGCAGATGAGATCATGACGCACGACCACACTCCTTCTCATGACAGGAATATAGCCTTATTATGACTGCCTGCATCAAACACTTTTATAGTACTGTATTACAGCTGGTTAATATAACCCAAGAGGAGAAGAGGGTAAGATGATCAATAAGTATCAAGTAGTGCACCGTCGTTTATCCTGTTAGTCCACTTCATTGTTTTCTAGTCTTAGTATGACTGCCTGTGTCTTTCGGACTTTCATCTTTGCAAATATGCTTGAGTTTTCATCGATTCTTCGTACATATGGTTGAAATGTCTGTAGGGAATACATGAGATAGGACAAGCCTAGTTGTGGAACTCTTATCTTTTTCGCACTTATGTGAATGATGGTTGGATGAGTCGAGTACACACCACTGGGATTCCGACTTTGATGAATGAAGTAAGGAAGCGGCATACACAGGGTCATGAATAGACTGTCGGTCCAAGTGAATGAGCAAGCGTAGGAATTTTGCTCTTCATCACTTGTCGGTCCAAGGAGAATACTTACTCACGAACAGTTAATACTCTCCATCGCTGTGGCTCTCTCTACTGCCTACGGCCACTTCAGTGAATCATGGTTCATTTGAATTGGTTGTGATATGGTACTCCACATCACACAGCCTGTGTAAGCTCGACGTCATGTCACACTGCAACGGCCGTTATAGGTAATGACCCTGTCTCTTATACACATCTAGATGTGTATAAGAGACAGCTTGATGTCAAAGCTCAAGGGTCATACACCTCAT